AGGGGAGGAGCCACAGCAGAGGGAAGGTGGAGCGAGGGGAGGAGCCGCAGCAGAGGGATGATGGAGCGAGGGGAGGAGCCGCAGCAGAGGGATGATGGAGCGAGGGGAGGAGCCGCGGCACAGGGATGATGGAGCGAGGGGAGGAGCCACAGCAGAGGGATGATGGAGCGAGGGGAGGAGTCGCAGCACAGGGAAGGTGGAGCGAGGGGAGGAGCCGCAGCACAGGCCATGTTGGCAGCAAGGCGTTTCCAACCAGAGGACCCTGGCAAGAGGCAGGGAACAGCCCAGCCTTGGGAAAGAGATTTGAGAGACAAGGCAGTCAGCAAGGAGAAGGACCAGTGTCTCTGCTTAAGGAAGCCATGCAGCCATTCCTTGGAAGTAATGGCGGGCCAGGATTATGTGCCAGTTTCATCTTGGCAGCAGTTTCTCAGTAACAATGAAACAGAATTGTAATCACCCACAATCTACAATAACATGTTATTGTGCTCTTCCCTCAATAAAAATACAAGTAATTTTCTTTTGTAGTACATTTCAAACATGACAAATTATAGCATATAGTTGTTACATATCTTCGAAATATACATATCCATATGTAAGCTGGGCCTATATTATCTATGTATATAAATATGTATGAATATAAATATAAGATGGGTAGGTATAGTACAAATTTTTCTAGACCTCTGTGATCCTAACCTCTTGGTCACAATTTGAGAGGCAGCAGCTACTCCTTCACGAGCCTGAATTCAAGCCTAGCTCCGGAATGCCGGCAAGCGCGCACTCTGCCTACGTAGCGGGACTCGGAGACAGAAGGCAGGGCAGGGATTGCCCCGAAGTGCCAGTTTTGTACAGCTCCTCCTCGTGAGCTGAGGAAAGAGCTAGAACCAGCCCTGAGCCTCCTGACTGCACCCAGCAGTGCGTGCTGTAAACAAGACGTGATGCAGCTTCCCCCACTGCCGGGCGCCCAGACAGGTGGGCGGTGCCAGCTGCAGGACTACCAGCGGCTCACATTCCCTCTGTTTGTGTCTAGGCATCACTGCTGCAGAGCAAACTCAACCAGATCTTTGAAATCACCATCCGGTAAGTGGCTGCCCTGGGCCCAGAACCCTACCTCTGTGCTCCAGTGCTGGGACCCATCTTCCTGGTCCCTCTCCCCATGTCTTCGCCCCACCCCCACTGTCCCCACCTCTGCCAGCCCCTGTCCCCAGGCTGGAGTCAGCCCCCAGCTCTCCCAGACAAGAAAAGACTAAACAGAGAAGGAGACAGCTCCATGAAGCCCAGTAAACAGCCAGGCTGGGCTGTGTTTCCTAAAACATCTCTGTGGAGCCTGCAGTGAAGCCTGGCTTCAAGCCTTAGGTTCTAGAACAACTTAAAGCTGGGAGCCCATGGAGTCACCGAGTTGCTGTTCGAGGGGAAACCCAAACCCGCTGCCCTGACCAGCTGCCGGGGCAGGACTGCACAACCCTCCTCATGCCTTTGTCTGCCTGTATTTCTGCCCCAGCCCGCCCCCAAGCCCATCGGGGACCATCACGGCAGCCTACGGCCAGCCTCAGAACCACTCCATCCCGGTGTACGAGATGAAGTTTCCGGACCTGTGTGTCTACTGAATCCTGGGAGATGGAGCTCCTTGCAGGGTGGGCCTGAGGGCAGGCTTGCCCTCGCCCAGCCCTCCAACGTGAAAATCTAACCTGGACCTCAGTGAAGGGGCCACCTTGAGTGACAGCACCCCCTGTGCGCCCCACCCCACCCCACACTTAGGCAAGGTGGAATCAATGCCCTCCTGCTTCCTCCCTGCCTCCCCCAAGGGAGGTCGACTGCCTGCCCCTCGGGGCCAATAAGCATCTCACCTGCACCGTCGTCGTCTCCTCCATGGCGTCAGCCAGGGGCCCAGAAACCCGGGGCGTCTCAGGAGAGAGGCAGACGGCCTGAGGTGCCCCTGCTTGATGCGGAGAACGAGGGACCTTTGTGGGGTGGGTCTGAGGGGCAGAGTCCTGGTGGGGGCACCGTCTGCCGGGAGCCATAGACAGCAGCGGAGGAAGGGAAGCCGCTGGTCTTGTAAGAGCTGGAAGATGGCCACCTTGCTAGCGTGGCCCCTCCCCCATTCGAGGGCCCTCAGCCTCTTGCACTCTTCTGCTCACCTGCCAGGTGACTCTTCTTGTGTCTTTCTGTTACTAATTAACGTTAAAACAGGGTAGAGACATGGGCTGGCGGCAGGGAGAGGGAGGCAGCGAGGTGACATGCAGGCTGCGGGCTGCTGGAGGCCTGCCTGTCCCCAGGCCAGCAGCAGGGGCTGGCCCACGCCTGTGCAGGGCCGGGGCCAGTGGGCAGTGGTGCAACATCTCCTCCTGGCTTTGTCCTGAGGAAGGTTGCGCCCCCACCTGTGGCCCCTTCTCTGGATTGTTCTGTGTTGCAGCTTCTCTGATGCCTCTCACCTGAGGGCGCCCACGGGCTTCTGCAGTCCGGGGAGGGCAAAGCAAGAGCATCTGGCTCTAGAGGCCTCAGAAGGAGGCACCACAGTGGTCCCCCCCCCCCAATCACCTTCTACAGAAAAGGTTCCGGTCTGGCTGGGGTGGGGAGGGGGCCCTGGGGCTGAGGTGAGGGGCTGGGGCTGAGGGAGGGGCACCCTTTGACAAAAGGGCACTTTGCTATTTGACAAAACAGCCTTTAGGATGTTTCCTTTGAGGAAGGAAGGAGACTGCATCTAGTGTTGGAGTGATTTGGACCTAGATGCCAAAAGACAAAGCTTGAGGTCCAGAGAGAGGCTGTGGAGCTCACTGGGTTCTGGGCTTCCTTTTCCCGGAGAGGGCGCTGCCTCTCTGCTGCCTCCTCTCCCCCCAGGGGCCTCTGTGCCTCCAGAGCCACCTCAGAGGCCCCTGCCCTGGGCCTCCCCTATCCCTCTCCCCACCCCACCCTTGTCAGTGGTCCAAAATAGCCCATTTCTCCTCTTCCAAAGTTCCCATGACTTTTCTGAGCTGATGTAATCCACAGGAAGGTGTGAATGGTGAAGGATTCCTCCCTACAAAATATGCTTTTTAAAAAGAGGGATGCTAACTAGAGAGGGGGCCCAACGAGACCCCTTTTGAGGGCACAACTTCAGTCAGTGCGGTGCGGGGTCAGAGCAGCCTGTTTGTGCTGAAGGGTAGACGAGCTTTTTGGCTCACAATCAGTCCCGCCCTAATGGGCCCTGCATCCAGGACAAACACGTCTCCCAAACAGCAAACCCTTAACACACATGATTTCCCACTAAATTTTCCAAGCAGTACATTTCGGGGAGCAGGGGACTATGTGAACCTCCTGCCTGCAGTTCCACCGATGTAGGTCGCTGCCTCGGGGCTGTGGGCCCCCAGCTGGCAGAAGGCCTGCTTGACCGCTGCAGGGCCCTGGGGGCGGCTCCTGCTCTCTCCACCAGCTTCAGACTCTGCCCTGTGGCTTTGGCTTATGCACAACCCAGCTGTAAGCATGGACTTAGATTTCTCCTTATTTTAATATCTCTGTAGCAAGTAACCAAGTTTAAAATAACTTGAAACAAACGTGAAGGTAGATAACCTCTGGCAGAACCTTTAAAGATTCTCACTCTTGGAGCCACAAACGTCTTTCTGCGCTGGCTCTTCCCTCTTTCGGCCCTGCTCGCGCTCACGGAAACACTGTGGGTTCTTATGCCTCCTTGAATGCGGGCAACCTCCCCCTGGCATCCCGCCCTGAGCTGTGTCCTTGGGCCCTGGCTCTAGGACTTGGAGATCATCACCCTGAAGCCTCTTTCTCAAGCCGGCAGCACCTGCAGGCCGCGGTCCCCCTCACCCTGGGAACAGTGAAGCCAAGGGTCGGCCTTCCTGTTCTTCCTACACTCCGCTGAAGCAGCTTTTCCCTCCTGTCACTGCTGCTTAGCAAACATGTGCTTCTTTTGCAGAACTGGCCGCTTTGAGTGCCTTCTCAGTTTCAAGTTAGACTCACACTGGGTAAAATACTAGGTTGCCTGGATTCTCAGTCCCAGAGAATGTGAGTGTGAAAGTCAGTAGAAGTTCCCTGGTCAGAGAAGCCCTCTCCGCCCCAGCACGAGGCCTGGGAGAGAAGAGGCAAAGCAGCACGCGGGCGGCAGCGGCTGGCTCCCTTGCCCTAAGCCCGGGTGCCTGGCAGCGCTGCATGGCACCTGCCTCTTTTGCTCCTGCTCCCTGTCTTGATTTTGAGCCAGCAGTTCCCCCCAAAGCAGCTGCTCCCCACAGCCACTGAGAACTCGTTTTGTGGGCAAAGGGGAGGGTTGCTTAGATTCTGCTGACAGGACTATGGGGGCCTGAACACTTGGGAGACAAAGTTCTGTTCGTTTGGTTAGTCGTATGTGTGCAAGAAGCAGGCAGCAGAAAGCGCCTGTGTGACCCTGCGGGCTCCTGGTTTCCCTTGCAGCGGGGAGAGTCTCCAGCACCCTGTGCCTCTTCCCATCTTCCTCCCTAGTAGAAATCAGTGGTTTCTTGACTCCTAGATGCCTCCTCAGCAGAAGGAATCCGAACGGGTCGGAAGTAGTGGTAGGAAGTCCTCAGTCCACCCTCTGCCCTGTGCACGGTGGAAACAGATGAGCCGTGGCAAGGTGGGCCCTGGGCCAACTCAGGGGCATGGAGAAGCATGGCGCTGTGCCCTTGAGCCTTAGCCCTGGTGTTCTGGGTCTCACCAGACTAACTCAACTGGCCTACGGCAGTACAACCTTTGAAATTATCTGGGGCCCTGGGGCACAGTACCTTACAGCTGCTGTTCTTGTCCCAGGCCCTCTGACTTGAGTACAGAGAGGTCGTTGAGAAGTGAGGCTACTGCCCCCAATTCCTCTTCATAACCATAAAATGGCAACTGGCCCGCTGGGAGTCTGTGGGAAAGGACTAGACCTGAGCTCTTAGGCAGAGTATCGGGTGGGCTTGTGGGGATTCTCCAGACCCACAGACCCTGGCAGGCAGGTGTCTTCCTTACCCCTGGGGAGATGTTTCAGGGCCATATTTATTTCTCTATTCCCCTAACCCTAGTTAAAGTGCTCCTGTCCCAAAGCCAGCCACGGTCTGAGGACTGTAAAGACCTGTCATGGGGGGCTGAGGGGAGCCCAGCCAACTGGGGAAATGGGAAAAGGAAAAAGGGGCTGTGGGAGAAGCTTGGGGGCCCTCTTGGGGCCAGAAAGCAGTTGCTTATGCCAGGTCAACCAGGTCTCTTTTCCTTCAGAGGTTCTTGGGCCTCAGCTCACCTCCCTTTTTAGCTTTTCCTCCACGACTAGAGAGTCCAGCTCATGGAGTGCAGAGCTGTAAGTTCACAAATGCTGCAGCCCATACCTTGCGAAGTGTCTGTGTCCACTTGACCTGACCTGGCTGAGCGTGCGTGTGCCCATGTGCATACCTGTGAGTGTCACGTAGTTCACACTTGACTTGTACATAGTAGCTGACGTTATTTATATGTGAGTGCAGAATTAGTGCCTGTGGCAGTTTTCTGTATTTTAAACTCATTGAGTCAAATTAGTTTTATTTTAAGGCAGGGGGGAGTGGTGGGGGGCTGTGGGAAGAAGGACTCATAGCAAGATCATTTGGGGACTATTAATGGTGGTTTCCCAGTGAGCCGTCATGATGCCCTTTTCGAATAAATGCTAATGTTGTCACCACATGGTTGTCTGAGTTCTTTAAAGTAAATGGTTTTTTGAGAGGCAAACAGGATCTGCAAATACCAGCATAACCACGACATTTAGCCAGCATCTACCATTACTTTACTTGCCTCACAAGGAAAGGCTGCTGCCAGGACCTGAGCCCGAGACCAGGATTGCCAGCTGGGGGCATCCTCTGGTGGGGATGCGTGGCCCACTCTCCATTAGTTTCAAGGCTCCAGCTCCATTAGATGAGCCACACTGGGGGTTACTTTGTCTTAGGAATCTGGCTTTCTGACACTCTTACATCAGGCCTCACACCCAGGTTGCATTCCAGTTTCCATTGTAAATTAGAGCATCAAAAGTTAGGAGTATGTGTCATTTACATACACACGGACACAAATGTTTCCCAGCCTACTTTCCCCTGAACTGTCCACTGCTACGTCTAAGGCCATTGACCTGAACATGGACCTCTGCATGTGTCCGTGTCAGAGAGCCTTGGAAATGGCCAATATGAGCGGTTACAAACCCAGGGCCCTGATGTGAAAACACCCTGGGGACGTGAGAGCCTGGGGACCCTTAGAGTTCCCCTGAGAGGAGAGCACAAGACACATGACAGCGAGAGATACAGCATCTGAGCCAGCAGGAGTCTGAGTGGCTGAAGTTAAAAAAGGATGACATTCAAAATGGTGGAAGAGGAAGCATCCCAGGCAGAGGGTGAGAGAGGGTGGGAGGGAAGAATGAGAAGACCAATGGATGCAAAAACAAGAAATGGGGAATGGTAAGGAGAGTGAAACTGACTGACAAGAACCCTAAATGCCCTACTAGTTTGGAATTCATAGAAAATTGGGATTAGGTGACTTTTTTGGTTCTCTGAATCAGAGAATGTTGTGTATCATTTAATATGAAGAATTTGTATCTGATGGGTTAGGGAGGAGAGCAGCTGGAGACAAGTGATAGGAAGCTGTGGAGATAGTCAAGGCTGAGTCAGGTGCACTGAGAAAAGAGAAGCACTGAGGCCCAGCAACATGGAAAAGAGAATGAGCTGCACAGAGGGACAAGATGGTCAGAGGACCTCCAGGCTTGAGCCCGAGGAGCACTATGGATACTATATTGTATTCGTGCAGCTGTGTCTCCGTGGGTGTGTGTAGTGGATGAGACTGTGAGAATATCTGTGAGCTGACTGAGAATGTGGGCACAGCTCTCCACTGTCACACTTGGCTTCTTGGTGATTAAAAAAAAAAATCCATCGCATCCATTTACTCAATCCCCCACTATGGATGGGGAGATAACAGAAATAAATCCTGGAGTTCAGAGACTTGTTTCAGGTCACACAGCTTCCCATCTGGTCCCCTCCAGTCATGGGCAGCCTCAGCCAACATCAGACTGACTCAGAGTTGAACTGAACCCCAGTCAAACCTGACCCTGTTCCCTCTCCCTCGGAATCCTGTCCTTCGGCATATCTGCTAAGTGAACAGTCTTTCTGCACCCAACAGGGAAGTGTAGCCACCCCGCGCCATCACCCAGACTGCCTGGTCTGTTGAAGACCCCTGGAGGGGAAGGCAAAGGAGTCCATTTTCTGTCCATTTCTGCTAAGTCTACCACTCGGCCTCGTGGAAAATCTCTCTTGCAATGCAGCACTTCGCAGCTAGGTATTGCTACTCCCCACGTCAACATTCAAAGTCAGAGGCAGCTGCGAATGAAACAAAAAAGCTTTTATTTCCTAACTACAGCTTAAAGAGGCCGAACATCTGCCCGGAGCCCTTCTGGGTGAGCAAATCACCAAGGGCGATGGCGTGGGGACAAGCAGTGGGGCTTCGGGGCGCTCCCGGGAGGGCGACCCTGGGCCCGCTGCACCCTACTGGCCCTTCTTGTGGGCGTTCTTGATGATGGCATTTTTGAACAGCGTCACGAGTGGCGTCTGGCTCTTCTCCGAGGTCATGAAGCCGCCGTAGCGCTTGTCCTTGGGCGGGCTGCCCCAGCGGAAATGCTTCATCTGGTAGGCCCCGTCGTCCTTCTTCTCCAGCGCCTCGGTTTCCGCCACCAGGCCGTATTCCAGGCCGGCCGCGCTGCCTGCCGGGTCCTCAGGGTGCTCGGCCGACAGCCCCCTCTTGAACTCGACGGGGAAGGCCTCGGTCGACTCGTCCTCGGCGCCATTGGGGTACACCTTCACGGGGCGCCGCTTCTTGCCCACCGGCTTGCCCCAGCGGAAGTGCTCCATGGAGTAGGAGCGCTTGCCCTCGCGTGGGCCCGGCTCGGTACCATAGGCCAGGGCCTCCGGGAGGCCATGGCCCGCCGCCGCCGCCTCCTCCGGGTCGCGCTTCTGGCCCGCAACGCTGCTGTTCCGCCGGCCGAAGCGGTCCCAGCGGAAGTGGCCCATGACGTACTTCCGGGGGTTCTCGGTCAGCGGCTGCTCGTCGCCGTTGCCGGGGAACACAGGCGTCTCGGCAGAGAGGTCCGGCCAGCAGGCCCGCAGGCAGGCCTGGCAGGAGAGGGGGAGCGTGAGGCCGTTACCGCCCTGGGCCCGCTGCCCCCACCGCCCGCTCCCCAGAGCCACATGGGGCCGGGAACAAGGCCACCGCGGGGCACCCGCGGGCGTCCCGTCTGCTGAGCTTGTCTGTCATGTCCCCGCTGTGCTTTGACTGCTTCTGCCTGGTAGCGGCAGCAAGCACCTCAGCCCCCAGGGCCGTTTACTTGACCCCACAGCCTTCGTCAGCAAGGTGGACAGTCTGTCAGCGAATATCTGATACAAAGGAATTAATCAGTAAACGCCAGCTGGGCGGTATTTGTTGGCACTTGATGAAGATTAAACAAACATGGTTCAGTTCGAGTAGGGGGGCGACTCGGGGGCATTGGACTGAAACTCGGGAGTATTGGGAGTGACCAAGTGCGGAGATTTACTGAGGGACTGGATAGGGCAGTAATAAATTAGGCCTTGCAGCCAAGGGTGATAAGGTGATAATAAACTGGGCTTTGCATCCAATGAACTGGATCTTGCATCTGGGATGGGACTAGAAGACGGTGATAAGGAACTGGGCCTTACATCAAAGGACACAGCTATGAGTCACCCCTTTGGAATCTGAGTTTAGAATCTATACAAGAGACCCTTCCCCCCCATAGGGTTGGCAGTAGCTGCGGACCCTACTCTTGGGCTCTGTCTCAGCTGCTGTCCGAGAGCAATAAACTGTTTGCTCAGCCTCTCTGCCTTCGGTCTTTCTTTCTTGCGGCTGATCACAGAAGTTGGGGCAAAACAGGGAGATCTCTCTAGGTGGCAGTGTTAAGTGCGACTTCTAGAGCCTGTATTTTCAGTAATGTCTCAATCTTGCCCCAGTGGGCTGCAGATGGACCTCATGTGGGACCCCAGTCTTGTCCCTGTTTATAGCCCTTAAAACTCCCACACCCGCTTGGAACTTTCCCTTGTTCTTCTGAGATCCTCTCTACTTTTCCCAACTAGTGAGCTCTGGGTGTGGGTGGCTTACTTCGCTGTGGCCTCACTCTTGCCTGGTGGGAAGGGTGGAAAGCCAGGGTTATTTCCACTGTGCTGGTTCTCTGTCTCCACAATTCAACTGTAAAACTCTTGCTCAGGAGAATGACCTATGGCTGCAGCCTTCAGCGACTCAGGATGCAGATAAGGAAACAGACGGATCCCACCCACTTTGTTGCGTTGGAAACCCCAGGGATTTAGAATTACAACACTGCAGAATGTAAATAGTGGAAAATAAAAACTATCTCATTTAAATTCCATTCCCTGAATACATGAGACAGGCAGCCCAGAGAGAAAAAGAGGACTTTGGCAAGTTTCCACAGGTCATTGGTGACACAATCAGAACTGGAATTCACAGGCTCTGGCCATGGCTGGTGCTCCCTCCTGGCAAGCTGTCAACGGGAGAAGCTGTGCAAGGGAGGTCCCCACGCAAGTCTCAAGACTCTCCAAATTCAAGGAACTCCCTGGACACTTTGCTTTTATTTTATACTCCATGTGACTATTAAGTGCTCTTGTGTTTTCGAGAGACTCCCCCTTCTCCTTAACTCTGTTGACAAGCACAGGGAGCAGTGAGCACTCCGCTCCCATCTGGCAGGTGCTAGCAGCACAGTGGAATCTGTCACTGACACCAGCAGTGTCCTTTAGTCTTTGGACTTGACATCATTTCTCATCTATGCCTCCCAATCCTGACAGACACCTACACACACTGATGCCCTGGAGGGAGGCTGGCACAAGAGTCTTTAATGCTGGAAAGGCTGCACAGGTCAGTCTTTCTGAAGGAGCAGGAGACATTTGCCACCAGTAAGAGGAAAATGGGGTCTGGGATTGTCCTCCCTCTAGAGATGGTTTGTGGTACTACCTCATTGGTTTAGTAGATAGAAAGGGAAGTGAAAATAACAAGTGATAGGAGATTATTAAAAATGAATAATGTAAGGTCTAAAAGATTTAAAATGTAGAATCGATTGAGAGTGCAATTATTGTTGTTACTATTGTTGTAAGGGTTATTATGATTTAATGGTACTAGCTCAAAATAGCTTGAGTGAGTGGAATGGGATAGTCACCCAAGAAGACAGGACAGGAAGTAGACAATCAAGAAGAAACTGTGGACCAGGCCCATCTCCTTGCTTCCTCCACTTCCTCCCCTCCTTGACCCAATTCTGACTCCCTTCTAGAAGTCTGCTGTGGACTCCTGTGGACGAGTTACCTGACACTAGGAGGAATTTGCCTTTCCCCACCCCGCTTTCTTCTGCACGGTCCCAGCCCCAACCCCAGTCCCATCTGATGCCCAAACCAAGATGGCAGCCACTTACCAGCAGGTTACTTTCCGTGGTGAGGTCCTGACACTGGCTGCTCTCCAGACACCAGCCGGGCACCTCCATGGAGGCCTGAAGCAGGGAGGCCTGAAGCAGCAAGACCAGCAGCAGGGCCCCTGAGCGGCTGCAGCATGATCTCGGCATCTTCCAGGCGGGCAGAGGCTCTGTAGAGGGAAACAAGATTGGTGGGACCCCTGCAAGGAGCAGAACAATGTTGGCCACTGACCAGGAAGGACCTCAAGCCAACATTAACAACACAGTTGCCTGTGGAGCTCAGGGCTTTTTGAGGACAGGCGTAGTTCAAGGAGAAGGCTGGTGTTCTGGGTGATGGTGTGAGGACTACCACACCACATGGCTCCAGGCTGAGATGCACACAGTTCTTCCTTATGACTTTTCCTTCTCAAAGTCAGAACCACAGGAGGTTAGAACTGGAAGCTATTATAAGGATCATCTGGTCCAGGCTTTACTTCAAAGATGGGTTAACTGAGACCCAAAGCGAGACGTGACTTGGGTGTTCATGACAAGGTAAGGGTAAATTCTGTTTTCAGCAGAGATTTCCTACCTCGCCACCTTCACGAAGCTATAATTCTAAGACTCCAGATCCAAGGAGTAACTTGGAAAAGACAGAGGACTCTGAAATTCCTGCTCAATGCCACCCTCCCTCTTCTTCCTTCACCAGGATCTATCACTTCTCAGAAACACCCATTTCCTTTACTAGTAGGTTTGCATAAAGGCAAATAAAATCTCTGGTCAATTTAGCCAAAATATCAGTTAACCTGATTTCATATCCTGTACACAAATCACACTCACATGATCACTATTTCCCAGGCCCCTGGGAAAGTTTATTTACTTTATTTAAAGATTTATTTATTTATGCATACAGAGATGGGGCACAGGCCAGAGGTGCAGGGGCAGTGAGAGGTATCACCAGACACAGAGTGGAGAGCAGAACAGGCAGATCAATGAAGTACACTACTGAGGGGAGCAGTGGGCAGGTCAGGAGAGGTCTGCTGGCCATGTGGGACAGCTCCAGAGCAGAGATCGAACTCTTACTGAAGTGGCTGCGGGTAACTTGCAGTGCTGAGTCCTAACCCATTGTGCCACTGGGGAGGGCCCAGAAAATTTATTTTTAAGGCAAAACCCCCATTCTTTTAAAGCCAACTATTTTGTGAATACATTACACATCAGACCTCTTACTCTCTAAGTCTCTCAAACGTCGTCTGATAGGGCCAGAAGTGAAGATGCTGTATATGCAGAAGGGAAAAGAAGCTGGACACAGAAAGGACAAACCTCCCAGCAAACACCTACCAAAAATTTTTGGAGAAGTCAGGAAGGGACCCTCCCTGGTAGCGCAGCGAGTGGGATGCAGCACTGCAAGCTGGCCGCAGCCACTTCAGTGTGAGTTCAATCCCCACCCCAGAGGTGACCCACAGGGTGCGGCAGACCTCTCCTGACCCCCCGCTGCTCCCCTCAGCAGTGTACTTCGTCGATCTGCCTGTTCTGCTCCCCACTCTGTCTGTGGTGAAGCCTCTCACCGCCCCTGCACCTCTGGCCTATACCCCTGTTCTGTACGCATAAATAAATAAATATTAAAAAAAAAAAAAAAAGAAGTCAGGAAGTAGCTCCCAGCAGATGCTGAGCTCGATGCAGTACAGAGATCTGCTTTTTGCCCTCTATCTGTCATTGGCGCAGATTATGTTTATTCATTGTAGAACCATTCCCCAGCCCTCTCTCTGTCCCTACCTTGTCTCCCCTTACCCAGGTAAGCCTCCTGAATTCTCTTGTCAGCTTACCACTTACCCCACACTCAGTTTGGTTTGCAGAAAATCTCAACCAGTTGTTTGGACAGAGTCTAATTAAATGAGAAAAGTAATTCACATTAATGCTAATGACTAATTTGCCTTATGTTTCCTGAGAAACATTTGCCTTTTAAGGTAAGTTTGCCTAAAAGTAATTTTATTTGTGGAGGCATAAACCAAGTCATTCTTACAAGCCTTTGGAAGCCAAAGCTCTCACGGTGGACTTCAGGAAGCCGCCTCCTTCTTTCTGCCCCACCCTCACCCCTTTCCCCAAAAGCTGAGAACTCCCTTCTGAAAGGGAGCCAGGTCCTGCCTGGTGTTTCCAGAACAAACATTAGATGGCGCTGGCAGCCAGTGAGCCGGCCCATCAGCATCTCGGGCTGAACAGTCGGAAGAGCCCTGGGCCACCTTGGTGACAGGCTACTTACCCATGTGACCTTTTGGTGTTCCGAAATATGAAGCCTGAACTTGCTGGGCAAGACCATTTAGATGGTCTGATAGCACACAGCGCAGTTAGATCAGAAAAATGCCAGACTTATAAGGAAAGCAGGGATAGGATAGCTACGTGTCACTATGGGCAAGTGTAAAACAACAGAAGGAAAACCACAAAGGTCTGACAGTCCCTCCTACTATCAATTCTCCTCACAATTGGTCTTTCTGGAGATTCTAAACGTTTTCTAACCATCTACCCTATCATTTTGGCTTTTCTGGAAAATGTCAAAGAGCATTTCTTCTTCTACCCATTGGCTGTACGACACAACATGTAACGTTCTCACTCTCCACCCTCTCAGAGCTCCATTCTATAACTTAAAAGATCATTTCCAGAGAGCAACTTCTTTTTGAATAAATATGATCTGTGCCAATTTTTGAAAAGCAAAAAGTAGCATAGAGGTCAAGTATTGGGTTTTTGTAAGGAGTGCTACAATTTAGTAATTGAAAGTCTTGGAAAAATAACTAGAAAATTTTAATTTGTTAATCATGACATTAACTTTATAATAAAACTACACTTAGTAGACCCTCATAGTGTTCTCTGTGAGCTAAACAAAACATTATGCTACTCTAAATTGTGCAGCACTGGTCATTTTCTTCTGCAAAGGTTAGAGGAACAGAAGTGTAAAATTTTGCCCTTGCACCTTAATACACATACATCAAGTCCTAAAAGAATAATTTTCAAAGGACTATTGGGTCATTTAATAAATCACAATCTGTAGATACCTTAGCAATTGGCAAACACACAATTTCACATTCTTTGGCTCCTTACTGTCATTCTCTGAGAATCATCAGCTCTTCCTTTATGGAAGAAGAATTTGGGAGACCCAAATACCTTACAGATTCTCAATCTTTCTCTAGAAACCCTCCTACCCTTTGGCCACTAGTTCAAAGGACTGATCCCACCCTACAGCCTCGGTTGTGAAGGATAGAATGTCCACTCTGTGGTGTTCTTGAAGGCACAGACACAGCGATTCAGGACCTTGGATAGTTCCCACCCGGCCACCTCATTTGAACACCAGTGGGGCCTTGGCAAGGAGACCCTTGTCATTACCACAGCGCGGCCACGTCTGGTGGGCCGGGAGACAAGGATTCAGGGATCCCCATTCACCAGAAAGTCCAGCATGCAGGGAATTAATTGTCCCTTTCAACCTTTTCTGTCCTGTCTTCATATCCAATGTTAATTTGTGGTAAAGTATCTTTAAAGAAATGACCCCACCCAGAAAAGAGGAGCCAAAAGACAAAGCAGTAGGACTCTGAGGGATCCTAGCAGCTCCACTGTCCTCGTTTCCTTACCCAAGTCCCGGGACCCCCGAGGGACGCTGAGGGGTCGTAGTCCCCACCAGTTCCTGGACGATTCCACCTTCAGCATGGAAGCAGTCCACCTTCAGCATCGAAGCCCGTCCCCAATGGCCCCGTGGCTGGCTGGCTCCGCTCGGCTGGGCTGCCAGCTCTCCGCCCCAAGATCAGTACAGAAAGTTTTCAGAGAACTCTGGACCGTGGCGTACCTAAAGGTGCCTCGAGTTCTCACTCAGAGCCGAGCTGGGGGCCTTCCAAAGCCCTGGGGCAGGGGGACTGTGGGGCAAGGGCGAGGTTCCCAGCCGCTGGGATCTTACCTGTTGCAGGGAGGCACCTCTCTGCACGACTCCCTGGGCACCTATGCAAAGATGCTGGGTGGCCTCTGCCGGTCGCTTCTTGCTTCTTTGTCCCTTTGTCCTCTTTCACCGCAGCCTGCTCAGAGTACTCTCTCCTCGGTCCTTAAATACCTGCTGAGTTCGCCCGGGTGGGCGCTTCCCCTCAGCGTAATAAGCAACTCCTGCGTCCAAGGGAAGGGTGGGGGTCAGGGGGGGCTGTGGGGCGCTCGAGGTGGGTTTCCAGGTAGGGCCGAGCGCCAGGGCAGACGTTCCCGGAAAGGGGGATGGATCGCTGTCGCCAGCGGCTGGAATTAACACTGACCCGCTGAAGAGCACACCTGGCAGCTTGTGAGGAAAGAACTTAATTAACAACAGCGTTGAGTCTCCAGTTAAATGGAAGGGCAGCTTAACACCCCGGTGTGGAGTAGGCTTGGCCCACATACTGAGGTCTTTAAGGAGAGGATGAAGTTACCTGCCTGCGTGCATGGGCCAGCATCTGCCTCATTCACATTTGGAGGTAAATATCACCGCAAAGGAAGCACATCTGTAACGCCTCAGATTTCACCAGCGTTGGCAACTGTGATATGCCATTGTCATGGAGAAAGACAATCTCTGTTCCAGGTTGGGGGGACAGGGGACAGAGAAGGTCAGGAGTCACTCATATGAAGGTGAGTTGTTTTGCCCCCTGGGGGCTCTCTCTTTGAGGTCCTACCCAGGGCAGGCTTCCTCCCATTCCCCAAACCCCAGGGAAGGAGTCCTGTTAACCTTGCACTACTGAAGGCAGGGAGTGTACTCCCTGAAGAGCGGCTGAAGTACATCCCCTGCAGCCAGCCGGTGGTAAACAGGCAGAGTGGTCTGGGGACTCTCAGTCTTTGGTGTCGGATCTGGCCTTGGAGACTGGTTTGGCTCTAGTCCGCAATGTCAGAGGAGGAGGAGGAGGAGAGGTCAGCAGGCAAAGCTGCAACAGGAAAGATTCTACCTTAACCTGGAATAAAGACACAAAAGCATATTGTGAGGAGTCCTGGGGGTGGGAAGCAGGCTGGGAACTAAGCTGAACTTTAAATCAAGGTGCTCCTTCCGTTTCCCAACTGCAGGAAATTTCTTTATTCCCAATCAGATAAGGTGTTCTCTGTCGGACCCCAACACTCCCTTAAGAATTTCTGGTTTCTTTTGGGTTCTTTTCCAGAAGACATCTAAAGTCCTTACTAGTAAGCAAGGTTTTACCATCACTGGACCTTGACCTCTTTCCAAGGTCATCTCCCCCTTGCCATCTCGCATCTGGGCACTTCAGCTATCAACCACATTCACAGCCCACGCACGCTGCTGCTTTCTCAAACCTTCAGCTCTTAGTCCATGCCACTTCCCCACATGAAACCCCCCTTTTCTCCAGCCACCCAGGAAAATTGGATTGTCTCACTAAGTTTTGATTCCTCCCCATAACATGTCCTCTGAAGCCCTCCTTGGCTTCCTGTCCTAACAGGGGCTTGCAGTGTGGTTCTTGCCCGCCGGAGTGCCCCTCTGCCATGGCACCTGTACATGTAGCCTTATTTGCTGGGACAAATTCCACTCTATCTTCCCTCTTCCATCCACTAACTCTACCTCTAGCAGGCTTGCAAGTCCTCTCAATCAGATTGTGATTTTATCCTATTTTTTCCTTTTTTATTGCTAAAACTTAGGCAGCTGGCAGTAACAGAAAAGCCAGAGCAGGAAAGGTTTCCGACTGGCCCGGCTCTCGCCTCCCTTGTCAGCTGAGACTTTAACTACATGGAGCAGAAACCACTTTGGCCCACATGAACAGAATGGCCTGTGAAGTGCATTTAGAATCACTAGGCAGGCTGGTTGTGGAACCAGGACCCAAAAAGTGGGCATGGCCCAAGTCAGGCTGTTGGTTGGGTCCAATGAGAAAGAAAACCAGACCACTCCTGGGAATAAGCGGCCTCAGTGGCACGGTCCACACCATGGGCATTGGACATAGATGTCACTTCTAGCACTAGCTGTTAATCCTATTATGAATTCCTGGATTGAGGCTAATTTGATTATTGTATGCTCTCTTTATATAGTGCTGGGCTTAATTTCCCAATATCTTATTTAAGATATTTGCATCATACACATGAGGTTGATATATAATTTTTCTTCCATATAGAATTCTTGTCCGATTTTTGTATCAAAATCATACTGTCCTTGGCCCTCCCTGGTGGTGCAGCGGGTTAAAGCACTGCACTAAGAAGCTAAAGCCACTTCCGCATGAGTTCGATCCCCGCCTGCCCCGGAGGTGACCA